GTTGGAGCCCAGCCTTTCACCCTAAAACTCCAGTTACGTGTCCTTCGTGTTTCTTAGCTCTGCCTCCACCCAGATCCGCACCCAGCCTCACGCATAAGCTAGTCATTCTTATGTAGCCATTCTGATCCTCATAGGTGACGTGTGACTGCTGTAGTTTGTGCTAAGGTGTTCATGGACGATGTTTTGTTAGTGCAGTGCTCTACTCTCCACTCTCATTTCTACAGTGTCCGTTGCCATCTCAAGTGATTATTACACCAAAAGCATCCCCAACACCAACTTCAAATGGCTGTTGCTTAAGGAGACAGGTACCTGCCACAAAGACCTTTTGCCCTCAACTCTTCTAAACTCCCACCCAGTCCCAGGGAGAGGGTGTTTTAGGTAGGCAAGCTAGAAGAAAGATAAATAAAAATGCAGGCAGTCAGCCAATCACGTGGCCTTCTTACTCTCCAGCTGGAGCTAAGAGAGGAGATTCAAGGCTACCAAGCTGGGTTTTAATGATTACAGGAGCTCTGCGTCCTAATTACCAAATCGAACCCATTATAAATTTGAGGTTTTACTGTAGGATCATCACACTCAATCCGAGCTGAAAGTCCGAGAAGTGACTACAAATTAGATTCTTACTACTTGAACAAAACCAAAAAAATCGGCGGTCAGATGGAGTTTTCATCTGCTAACTGAGAATAAAATTTAACGTGGTTGAGAGCAAAGGGAAAATAACATTTATTTGTAGATAACCTAAGGCATGAAGATCATTGAGTGTCAGGCCAGCTTAGGCAACATACTGAGACTATCCCAAACCAACCAACCAACCAACCAACCAAAAAAAGCAATGAGCTGTCATGAGATCAAGGGTTTGGGTACAGCCTGGATCTCTGGGCAATTGGCAGAATGCAACTTAATAGACCAAAACCTCAGGAAACTTCCTTTGTCCTCATTCACAGGTGAGTGCCTTTGGGGGTGTGGCTCTCTGCAGTGCTGGAGAAAGCTCAGCTTTTCTAGAAAGCTGCCAGAAATCCAATGCAACTGTGTTCTCTTGGCTCCACTCCATGTGCCCCAAACCCATTTGACTCCATTTTCACTTGCTTCCATGGTCCATTTAAATACAAGGGAAGAATCTCAAAGGCTCTCACACATTTGTTCAACAGATGCCAGGCACTGATTCTTAACAAAACAGACTGGCCGGCCCTGCTCCTACGTGTCCTACATTCTGTATAGATTTTAAAGGAAGGTAGACTGATAAAAAATAAAAATAAAAACACAAGGTAGAGTGCTTGTGTGGCATGCACAAAGCCCTGGGATTGATGAACAGCACCACAGAAACTGCAGGTGGTGGTACACACCTGTAATCCCAGCACTCAGGAGGTAGAAGCCTTGAGGATCACAAACTCAAGGTCATTCTCAGTTAAGTAGTAAGTCCAAGGCCAGCCTGGGATATATTTGACCTTGTCCACAAATGAATAAATAACTACACAAGTAGATAAATAAAGCGACACTTTCTGTCCTTGAGGGATTTTGCTTAATGTGCTTTTCTTGCATCTGGGCCCTGGATTCTGTCCTCCTGCTCTCTCCAGGACCAGAAGACTAGCAGTTCCTTTTCTCTGCTGCCACTGTTGTGAGCTCACACTGATGGACTTAAAATAAGCCTTCAGATTCCTCTTAGCCTAAGCCAACCCTGACAAACTTCTCCCAGATTCCCTTTAGAAAATCAGCAATTACACTCTTCCCTTCTGCCCCCATGAGAAAAAAGAATTCTCCCAGCCTCCTGCCAGTTTTATAAGACAGGAGGACCTGGGAGATATCTTTTAAGTGTCATCCTCAAAGAGATAGCAGCCTCCCCCTGGCTTCTGGTGGTGAAGATACTCCCAGATGCAAACAAACACTCTCCTTCCACATGAACAAATCTATTTGTCCTTTGAGTAAGGAAACACAGACAGCCCTAGATCTCCCAAACACAGCCCAGGTTCCTGAAAGCTTTCCTCTCAGCTCGCCCTTCCTGCTTCTGCTTCACTCTGACTTCTCTCTTTTATCAAACAGTCCCCTTTCCTCCTTTGCAGCATCTTTACTGGTACAAGCTTTGCCTTACTATGTCTGAATTTGTTTTTCTTGAAAGCCCTTGACCTTCCTGACGAAAGAATTTGTAGATAACCCAAGGCAGGAAGATCATAGACTGCCCGGTCCTGCAGCCTTATAAAGCTGGCTGAAGGCTGGGAGAATTCTTTCTTCTCATAGGGGAAGAAAGGGAGAGTGTAATTGCTGAATTTCTAAGGAAATTTCTCATTCTCTTGGACCTTTTCCTTTACAGGGAAGGTTTCTTCAAAAACACTTTGTGCTCCTCTATACCTCCTGAGTACTGAGCTGCTAGAATAGTAAATCTGACGGAATTTGTCTGTGCATCCATCACCTTTTCCTGGAACAAGCCACCAGTTTTACAGTGAGATTCAGAATCCCAACTCAGTTACTTACAGGTAAGGCCATTTGCCTGTTTTTACTCAGAAAAGTGAGGTCTCACTCTCTCTTTTAGAAACAGCAGCTGTCAGTTTGTTCTTGCAGTTCTGGGGATGGAACCCAAAGCTTTGCACAACTAGATTAAAAAATATATATATATCTACCACCCTAATCCATTTTTTTTTTTTTTTTTTAGTATGTGTAAGTGCTGTAAGTCATTATGTGGGTGCTGGAGACTGAACCAGGGTCCTGTTCAAGAACAGCAAGTGCTTGTAACCACTAAGCCATCTCTTCAACACCATCTTAGCTCTTTTTAAATTTTAGCTTAAAACAAGGTCTCAATCAGTTGCCCAAGCTGGCCCTGATGTTGAAATCCTCCTCCTCCTGCCTCCTGTGGCCTGCAGCACCACACCTGGGATAGTGGCTGTTCTGTCCAGTCAGGAAACAACTGTAGAGATAACAGTCCCTACTGAAAGGACAGACGTTCACTCTGAGTTAGGGCATACCATGTGCTTCTCTGAACAAGGTTTAAAGTGCACCGATTTGGGGGTATAACATAAATGTTTAGAATGCATTTTTGACTACATGAACACTAAGCAAAACAATATTAGTTTCCCACTTAGGGCCTCTGATCTATCCATGGACTTTTGACCAGGTGTATTAGGCACAAACCCTATCCTGCTGAGCAGGCCTCAAATCCAATCAGAAACTAGTTGGCTACCAGCTTAACAGTCGTGCCACTATTGTAGCAGTGGGTTTACCTTTTCTAGCAGGCTGGCATTGTAGCATGCAAGGTCCAGCACTGGGTAAGACCATTGATGTCTTTCATCCCCTAGAAGCCTGGATAACACCTTCTAGCACTATGAATGCTAGCCAGTAGGGAGAAAATTTCCCTGTCAGTTTACAATTAACTTCTCTATTCCTGCAACCAAAGTGTTTGGTGTCTTTAGCAGTAAGATCTTACCATCAAATTATGGTTGGGCAACCAAGCAAGCTTGGCATTTCAAATGCATTATCTCATTCAGGTCTTTATCACAACCCCAGAATTAGTCATTTTATGAATAAAGAAATCAAGGCTGAGAAAGAAAGACTGTTGGACTTGCCAAACTTTTACATCAAGGAAGTACTAAAATTCATATATTTCTACATTAAAATTTAGTACATATAAAGTAATAGACTTCACTGCGAAATCTTCATCTACCTCTGTTTCTTACTCATATTTATTCTCCCTTTGTCTTCCATCCCATTCATCCTTATTGATTTTCTTCTATCTACTCTGACCCCCAACCCCAATGGCAGTGGCTCATACTTGTAATCTTAGCACTTAGGAGGCTGTGGCAGGAAAACTGCTGTTACGTTTAAGGTTAGCCTGGTCTACATAGTGATTTCCAGGCCATCCTGAGCTAGAGTGGGACTCTGCACACAAAAAAAGGGCCTGATGACATGGTATAGCAGGTAAAGGCACTTGCTGGTAAGTCAGATATCTGACCTGAGTTTGATCCCTGAGACCCATGTGGTACAGGAAGAAAACTAATTTCTGCAAGTTGTTATCTGATCTCTACATGCATTGTGACATATACATACACAATAATATGTGTGCATATGCACACTGAAATCTAGATTTGACATAAAATGTCTTAGGTCTCTATCCCGACCTATTATCTTGTTCTCTCCCTCTTTCCTCCCTTCTCTCTATTAGTCCCATCCTTCTGTCATGTCCTATGTCTATCTACTTATATTTTAATCTAAAGTCCACATGAGAGAAAATGTGCTACTGTCTTCCTGAGGCTGATTTATTTCACCTAACATAATGATCTCCAGTTCTATTTATCTTCCTTCAAATGACATTTCTTTCTTTATGGCAAAAAACGGAGAAAGAAAAAAACCTGAATTGTGCATTTGTACCCTATTTTCTTTATCGGTATATCTGTTGATGGACATCCAGAAGGTTGCATATCTGCATAATTGTGAACTGTGCTGCTATACACATAGATGTACAGGTGTGTTTATGGTATGCTAACAGGGTTCTTTGGTTATATACTCTAGACACATAGTAATTCTACTTTTAGTCTTCTGAGGATCCTGCAGGCCGTCACTTCCATAGTGACTGCACTGGTTAATACTTGCAGCAATATTTTCTCTTAGAATTCATATTCGAAGCCATATCTGTATAGAGATCACCTATTAGACAAAGGCTAAATTCCTCATACCTGCTCAGTCTCCTCCTGAGAATTACCTTCACGGTCATGCCCCAAGCATCTATCTGTGCATACTGTTCTCTTCACAGAGAATGGATGAGAGACTGGCATGCAAATCTCTCTCTCTCTTTCACACACACATCACACCTTATACCAAATACTTCTAGATAACCATGCATCCCCTGAGATCATAACAATATTTTGACTTTAAAGATAGGGCCTTGGTCTAACAATTCCAAGCCTTCCAACATTTCAGAGAACAGTTGTGTCAATATTATATATAGTCATTTAAAGAAAACTAGGCTCAGTTCTGAATGGCTGTGAGTTCTCTGATCAATCAAGAAACGTGCAGCAGACTGAATCATAGATATTTAATAGAGTGGCCTCATTTACTACATACAAGATCCTTTAAAGAACATAGGTGCCTGGATGACACTAATAGTTGACTGTTTTGGCAGGCTTTGTTTCCTCGATCTCAGAAGACAGCCAGCGGTAAGTGCGGTGCCGCCGTAACACCTCAATGGACTTGAGTTCCAGCGGTGTGGGCTGAATGCCAAGATCTTCCAGGCCCGGCAGGTCAGACGCCATCACATCTGAGATATGCATCTGTGAACAGAGGGTCACAGAGAATGCTGAAAACAGAGTGCCACTCCTAAAACATCCACATCCCCAAGCTGGCCCGAGGCTCCTCACTAAGGCAAACGCCTTCAGAAGACTCATGGCACGCTTTGATTTTGGGACTCATAAAAGCAGAACAGTGCGGCTCATCAAAGACCCGAGGCTACGGGAGCGTAGCACCCAGGATCACGGGCCAGTGACCCTGGAAGAGCAGCTCCACAGGCACATGTATGCATCGCTGGACCTAGTGCAGGGAGGCAGAAGCTATCCCTCCATCCAGAGATTCAGACAAGAGCTAAGGCAGGAGGAGTCACCCCTGGAGCCCATTTTCTTATGGTGGGTCTCTGGGCTCTAGCTCTCTACTTCATTTTAATTTTTTGTCCTGGTTTGGTTTGGGATTTATTTTGACAGTGTCTCACACTGAAAGCCCTAGGAGCCCATTATGTAACCCAGGCTAACCTCAAGCTTGTAGAACTGCTTATGTCTCAGCCTCCCACGTGCTGGGACTGCAGGTTATGACACCAGGCCTAGACCCATTAGCCTTTTTTTGCTCCAATTATACTCAACCTGGGTCAAGGAATGCTCACTACAAAGCCAGAAGCCAAACCCACTTTGTTTAGGAAAGAATAATCAAGTCAGCCTCACTCATGAAAAAGCACCAAAGCAGATTCCGCTGTACATGGAACTGCACCAGGTTCCATCCTGTGAACCCCCATGAACAACTCAGAAAAAAAAAACAGGGTGTTTACTGAATGCTCTAGGGTGCTCTGCAAACCAAACCTAAAGGCTTCCTGCCTATTTGATTCACACTTTCTCAGTCGCCAAGGTGAGAGCAAGTGCCAGACAACGGGGTTCATGGGCACAGGAAGGACACCAGGGAAATGTCTCTGTTTTTAGGCAGTCTGTCAGAGAAAGGCAGAAAACTGCTGACTGTTATCCAAAATAACCAGGACTGTTATCAATTCCCTGCTATGCTTCAGCTCATAGAGGACAGTTTGGCTGCATCCCATCAATAGAAAGAAAATTCACAGAACTTAGGCCGAGATGCTGTCATGTATTTATTTTATTTGGTACCTTCCCAGCAAGACGTGGCATGCAGGAAGCAAGCAGTCAATGAATCAGACAAGCACAGCAGACTTGAGAAGAGCTGGGGCTTTGAAGCTCAGCATTCTGCAGGCAGACAAGAATGGCAGCAAGAAGCTCACTGAGAGAGGAAAAAGGGCTGTTGCCTGGGTTACAATAGGCAGAGGAGAGACAGTTATACACTCTGCCCTCAATGCACAGCAAACTTCCAATATTGCTAGAAGTATGTTTCTGATGGGAACAGGCAGGAATTAGGAGTGGCCCAACTTGGCATCTACTGAGGGTTGCTGAGGTCTAGCCCTTTACCATCTAACATCTAGCCATTAGTCAAGGATAATTCAGATTTCAATTTCAGTGAACTAAAGCAGAGCTCATATCTGATGGCTGCAGTCATGGGAGCCATATGTCAAGCCCTCTACATCACACATGGCTACTGGCAATGTGATGGTACAGCCACTTTGAGCACTGAAGGAAGTCTCATAGGGCAATGTTGGCTTAGGTATCAAAACTGGAGGGGATCACTATATATTTTACATTAACAACACAGAAAGGGCTGTCACTGAGAATCTGAGGACAGAACACAAGTTTGCGACAGCAGAGCACAGTGGTGGCACAGGTCTATGGTATGGAACTTAGGAGGCTGAGAAAAGAAGATCAGCACAAGGTCAAAGTCAGCTTGGGCTGTATAATGAACACAAGGCAAGCTGAGACACACAGCAGACTCCATCTCAAAGCAACAAAACACCTGGTAAGATTTAATCAACAAAATAACAGCTTGCAGTTCTATTTACAAGATGTTACTATGTCTGCATAGCTCAACATGAAACTCCCATTCAAGGTGGGAGAGAAAACTGCAGCCTGGCCTCCATCAGCAGCAGCTGGCAACTGGGATGAGCATAATCTACAAACAGAAATTAAAATGTCTGAGGCTGTGACCCCCCCACATCAGAACAGACAGCAATCAGGAGGGGAGGAAAACAGAAAGAGAGCATCCAGTACAGCCCAATTGGAGAAGAAAAAGCGAGAGAATTTTGCTTGGGGCAGACACAGGTGTTGCAAAATACTTGATACCATTGTGAACCCTGAGATTTTACTAGAAAAACATCTTTCTAATTGTGGTGTGGCTCAGTCTTTGACCCTAGAGCTTCCTGTTTTCTGTAAACAAGTGGCTCGGCCCTAGCACACCTTTAATCCAAAAACTTTCTGTAAACAGGATTAAATAAAGTTAACCCTAGGTCAAAAGGCAGAGCAAGCAACAAGATTGACAGGAAGTAAACATGGGGGAAAAAAAACATAGAGAGTGAGAGGAAGTCAAGAGGAGAGATAAAGGTGCACAGGAAGTAGAGACAAAAGACATTGAGTTGAAGGGTATTTAAGACAGTATGGAGGAGAAGAGCTTTTTTTCTTCTGGGACGTGAGCTGAATAGGAAGAGCCTTTTCCTTTTGCAGCATGAGCTAAGCAGGAATGGCATTTTTGGTTTTGGACATCTACTGAGTAGGAAGGTCAGCTGAGTGTTTTTCTGCCTCTCTGACTTAACAGGTTTTCACCCCAGCACCTGGCTTGTAAGTGTGTATTGTTAAAATCAAACATCTGGGATTTTCTCTCTTTATAACAACACACAGGTGCAAGGCATCCTTTCAAAAACAGAGAAATGTGGCCCTTCAACAAATGCTGCTCATAGCAGAAGTGAGATGAGGTCAGAAGCTGACTGTGAGGAGGCTGCCTGGGGTCATGAGTAGCCTTGGAATGAACAGTTTTAGGGAAGAGAAAGATAAAATTTGACTGAAATGGAATAAAGAAAGAATGAGGCAAGAATCTGGTGGGAACAGGTACAGAGAGCTCTTTGGAGGTGAAGGTATGAAGGGAAAGCCAGGCATGGTTGTTGCAAGATATTTGATCACCCTGTGAACCCCGAGATTGTGTTGTTTACTGGAAAAACCTGTTTCTAGTTGTGGTCTGGCGCAGAGCCTAGCACCACTTTTAATCAAAGAGTTCTCTGTTTGAATGTTGTAAACAGGATTAAATCAAGTCAATCATAGGTCAAGAAGTGGAGCAAGCAACCAGTTGACAGGGAGTAAACATAGGAAGTTGGGAGAGGAGATAGGCAGTAGGAAGTACAGAGGAGGAATATTCAGTTTGAGGGGTTTTTTTGAGATGAGTAGGGAAGGAGCTTTCCTTCTGGGTTGCTGGCTGAGGAGGAAGGTCAGCTGGGTGCTTTCTCTGCCTCTCTGAGCTAGCAGGCTTTCCCACAAGTATTGGCTCCCTAGTTTTTATTGGTAAAATCAAACACTTGAGATTTTGCTAAAAACAACACATACTCGTACACACCTGTACTCCTAGCACTTAAAAGTAGAGGCAGACAGATCAGGAATCCAAGGTCATCTCCACCTACATAGTGAGTTCTATGGCCAGCCTGGCCTAGAGACCCTGTCTTAAAATAACAACAAAACCCAAAATGGTTGTAAGGGGACACAATAAATAGCAAAATGGCCAGATGGACCTGGGAAGAAGAGTTTAGCCTTCAGTAAGGGTTAGGTTGCCTATTATGCATATTTGAATGATCTTATAGAAAGGGGAAAATACACTATCAGAGAGAAGATGATTAAACAGTATTAGAAGGAATACATGTCAGCCAAAAGCAGAAGAGCTAGACTTGGCCAGGAGGAATATTCCACACACAGGAGTCCTGTAACTATCCAAGCAGCCCAGCCAAACAAAACTGACTTATCCACCTTTGCAGTGCTCTGCCTGGTGAGAGGTTTGGTACGTGCAAACTTACCCGCTCCACTTTGTCTCTCGTTGTCCAAGGCTCAAATGGACTCATTTCAAAGAATCTGGCAATCCACCTGGAATGGAGACATATATGGCACATGTGAAAAACATCTGTGCTGGGTTTTAGCCTATGGAGCCCAGGAAAAGGGGGGCTGCTGCACGCAAGAACTCACTTGTTCTTGTCATTGTTGTTCTGAAAAAATAACCAACTTCCTGGCTCTACTACCTGTTGTGAAGATCTATCTAATCTTTCCCCTCTCCCTTTCTCCCTCCTTCCCTTCTTCCCTCCCTTTTGTGCACTTTTAAATCAGGGCCTCATGTACCCCAGGTTGGCCTCAAAGTCACTATGTGACTGACAATGACCTTGAACTCCTAGTCCTTCTGCCTTTGCCTCCCAAGTGCTAGCATGTGCCACCATACCTGTCAAAATCTTACAGCTTTTGGGGCAGGGGAAAGTGCTGAGAACCAAAGTCATGGTCTCACATGTGCTAGGCAAGTTCTCTACCACTGAGCAGCAATGGTCCATCCCTCTATCTACAGGTCTCTAAAGACTTGAAAGGACATTCTCATTGCTAAAGTAAATCCCTGACAAAGGAAGTTTTAAGAACTTGGAATTTCTTTAGCAGCATATAAAATCCTGATGATAGCCGGGCCCTCCTACGAGTAGCCCCTGTGCTCTGGGTCCACACTAACATCCTGTCTGGATTATGGCACATCCTCAGTGGGCCATGCCACCTGTATCAGCCAACCCTGAATTTACAATCATCTTCATGTGCAACATGAAAGTACCTCCCTGCTACCTGGTTTATAGTCTCCATTGTACTAAAGTTGCTGTCCCACCTAACTCCATGGCCCTTTGGCTTTGACATCGGCTTTTTTCATTAGCATGCCAATAAACAGATATTTAATGGAGCGGCCTTTTGTGCACCAGGCATGGCACTGAGGCAGAGGAGCATGAGAAGTAGCTCAGAAACGTCAGGCTCTTAAGTAGACTTGGGTTACACACATGTGCCTTGTCTCGTATGCACTTGCCAGCCTTCACCTACACGTGGTGTGCAGGCACGTACATCTCCAAACACTGGCCATAGCAGCGTTGTGCCTCACCTGCATCTGGCTACCCCTATACTCCATTCCTCTCTGAATGGAGTAAGTTTCTACTCCCCTAATGACCATCAGCTTGGGACAGTTTCTGTTTAGATATATTTCCAAAGCACTTGGGTGCAAAGAATGGAAACTCTGATCCAGCCTGAACTGGTTTTAGGTGCACACAATGTAAGGCAAAATTGAGTCCTCAAGTAAACTTTTAAGGAGAGCGTATTGCTATCTTACATATATGTAAAACTGGGCAGGCATGTGACTACACATAGACACAGAGAAAAATCATTCTATGACCTAATCTGTCAATCAAAATAAAGAACTTACTTAGCCAGTCCCCTTAGCAACCCAATTCCTCCTCTCTTGAGCCTTATGAAAGGAATCCCCAAACAATAATTGGTATCCCCAAGTATCTTCCCCGAAGTGGCTGGCTGTCAATATCAACAGCATACCCCTCTTTAATCAGTACAACTGCTTTGTTTAGAATAGTTTTGCTGTTGCAAAGTGAGTCGTTATTTTCACCTCTTCGGATAAGAGGCCAGGAAGCACCGACCCTGATTACTCTGTAACAGTTCCAGATACTGGATAGAGGGGCATGAACAAAAGGGTAGCATTCTCCTCTTCAGACATGCATGTTTGTATCTCCCCTTCCTAGCATGTAAGGGGCTCAGGGTCTCATCCAGCACCACAAATAAATAAACAAACAAAATGGAAAAAGGCAAGATGCAGCGACACACACTTAGGACTTCAGAACTCAAAGAAGAGGCAGAGAAGCAGAGAAGCAGAGAAGCAGAGAAGCAGAGGCAGAGGCAGAGAAGCAGAGGCAGAGAAGCAGAGAAGCAGAGAGGCAGAGAGGCAGAGAGGCAGAGGCAGAGGCAGAGAAGCAGAGGCAGACAGGCAGGCAGACAGAAAGGCAGAGGCAGAGAGAGGCAGACAGGCAGAGGCAGAGAGACAGTGAGGCAGAGACAGGAAGATTGTTCCATATGCAAAGCCAGCCCAGTATACACAACAAGTTTGTAGCATATGGAGCAAGTTGCAGGCCAGTCGGGGCTACTCAAGGAGTAAAACAAACAAAACTCCTTTTTCTCTCAACCTCTCCTGAAAATCCTCGACTCAACAGATTCTCATCTTCTGCAAGTGCTTAGGTTGGGCAGTGTTCTACCTTTGGGGGCCTGCTCCTCTGCAACCTCTGTCCATTCTATACCTTTCTCCTGTGTAGAGTCACAAGTGCTAAATGAGTGAAGAAAAGCCTCTGAAGGAAAACGGTCTCAATAAACAACTTCCACCATCCTGTGCTGCAGTTTTGGTTGTTTAAGGTTCTTCTTTCTTGTTGTTTTTGATTTTGGTGCTGGGGATTGAAGGTGCGGTCTTGTGAGTGCTAAGCATGCACAACCACTGAGCTACACCCCTACAGCCACAAGCTATAGAAGAAGTGTTCGCTTAGGTGCCTAGATCACTACCTGAGAAATGGAAGGCATCAAAAAATATTGTTGAGTAAATAAAAAAATGGACTGCCATGTTTACTTATAAGTCTGACTCTGGCACACTAGAGGTGAAAATCTTCCTGCCTAGACAATTATAGTGTGTTCTGATGTGTCCAGGATGGACGCACATAATCAGCAGAAGAATGAATGCATGTGTTGCCATGCTGAGGACTGACTGAGTCTAGAAACTTGCACTTGCCAGGCAAGGGTTTTGCCTCTGAGGTACCAGCCCCAGTAGATAGAAAATTTTAGTCCCCAAAGCAATGAAGTGAACCAAGAAAGAAAGAAACTAAAGACTCAGGGCCAGGTCTAGGTCAGCCTCCTCCTCCCCAACTCCCCCAAAGCCGGCCTTAACAACAGAAGGGAACCTCAGCCCCTAGAGCTGGAAAGAGCTGGAAAGAAACAAAAGGAGAGCTGACTGTTCCCTCACACCAGCTCTCAAGCAAGACACTTCTCCAAAATTAAATCCCAGGGTCTTTACTGCTGCTTATTTGTTCAAGATGCTAGGAACCAAACTCAGAGCCTCCCATTGCACAAACGTTCTGTCTCTAAAATAGATCCCAGCCCAAGCCTAGGGTTTTCAATTGGAGAATCTGAAGAATCACCTAACAAACACAAGGTCATCCTTACTTGTTAGTGCCACCTACAGTTCGTTCTTGGCATCACAGCATCACAAGTTAGCCTCAATAGATGTGGGGAGACTGGCCTTCTGTAAAGGAAGTACGTCCTGCTACCCTAGGATGGGATTAGGAACAGCATCTTAAGTTAGCCTCTTGGGTACATGCGAACAGCACCGTACTTACCTATAGACAAATGCTGGCAAGGGGTAGGGGATGTAGGTCCTATGGGCCATGCCATAAATGTACTGCACCAGATGAAAGAGGAGGTACCGATTTGGCCTGAAAACCAAAACACACAGTTCTTTACATAATTTTCCCCTACAATTTTTTTCAAGCAATGTTTTTCTTAAGAAAAAGGAAACATGCTGTCACAAATAGATAAGGAAAGAAAATCTACCTATTAACCTTACGCCAAAGACAACCTATTCTACATACACGTCTCATCCTCTCACAGGTGTCTTATGATGTACCCTGTTCATTTATCTTTTTGTTCCCTTTGAGAAGGGCTCTCTCGCTATGTAGCCCTGGCTGGCCTCAAAATCACAGTAATCTTTTTGCCTCAACCTCAGTCACCACCACTCCTAGCTTAATCAACATTTCTTTAATAATATACAAGATTAATTTTTCTTCATGTGTTTTTGGTCATTTACATAGCTTTCACTCCTCTGATAGTTTCTGTCCCTTACAATGACAAAAACAACTCCACCATCTGAATTCTTACCCTTTCACTTAGGCAGCCTCTATGTATCTGGAACAAGGCTTTAATAATTAACCATCACTTACATTTCAACACCTACCTACACATTTTCCTAATGCCATTTATCTCAGAAATATCCATAACTGAGAGAACATAATGATCTTTCACTACAAATCTTATTATTTCAACATTTTAAAGACAAACAAACAACAAAAACCCCACCATGCAAATGGAAATACTGGTATCAGCTAGAGGAAATATCACACAAAACCCTCAAATAGCCCCTAAATTCCTAAAGGATTTTCAAGAATGTCTGGTTTGTCCAACACAGGCAACACTAGACCATGGCCAAGCTACCCAAGTGCAAGGTGCCTCCTCAAGAGGCTGTATAGCAACACATTCCAGTAAATGTGGACGGACCAAGCAAAGAGCCTTGCTCAGAGAAAGGGCCACAGAAGCCTACATCCTTCCCAGGCTGCATTTCATGGTTCAGCATTAAGAATCACCATCAACAGACATCCTCAGCAAAGCCTGTCTCTGAGACCCCCTCAACTATGCTTGTCAGCAAATCCCTACACTGCTTAAGGTAACCTGCCTTCCCTAGAGAAGAACTAGAAAGAGAGAAGGTGTCTGAGCTAACTGGCCTCACCTCCAGTGTTGCTTTTCCAACATTCATACTACCTTCTTCTCTGACGTTTCTGTTTTTAATATAACGTGTACAAGTGTTTTGCAGGCATGTATATCTGCACACCACATGCATGCGTGGTCCCACAGAGGCCAAAAGAAGGTACTGGATCCCCTGGGACTGGAGTTTCAGGTTGTGAGCCCCCATGTAGATGCTGGGAATCAGGTTCTCTGGAAGAAAGTACTCTTAATTACTGAGCATCTCTCCAGTCCCAGTCTTTTCATTTTTAAACGGTATCATTTGAAATACAAAAATGTCCAATTCTGATAAGTCAAACTTAATTCTTTTCCTTTTATGGATTGTGCTTCTGATGATATAGCTAAAAGTATCTTGCTATACCCAACATCTAGAATTGTTCTATTCCAAATATTTATACTTTAAAGTTTACATTTGTTTTCTTTTCTTCACAGAGGATGAAGTAAAAGTCCAAGTGTCTACTTTTCATAGTATCATTTGTTGAAAAGACTACTATCACTCAAGAGCCATGGCACATTTGTCAATAGTCAGTAAATTGGCCATAAATATGATCTGGAAGCTGGGCATTGGGAGGGGAATTATAATCCCAGCAAAGGAGAAGATTTTGAGTATCATACTATCCTTGATTTCACAATGAGTCCTAGAGCAGCCTGAGCTACTAGGTGGCGAGACGCTATCACAGACAAAGGTTTGGTTCTGAACCACTGGTTCTGGTTAACTGATCTATTAATTCAGCAAAAATTGTCTTGACAATTACAGCTTTAGAATAAGTTTTATAATTGGGAAGGTCAAGAGTTTAGGCTATTCCCACTTTATATTGTCTTTCTATTACCATTTAAATTTTGGAGTTTGACACTTTCTCCAAAAGGCTGGTGGAATTTTGACAAGATTCAATCTATTGACCAATTTAAGGACAACTGCCATTTTAGCAATGTTGACATTTCCAATTCATGATTTGGGAAGTCTTATCATTTACTCCTTACTTTCCTTTCACAGTGGTTTTAGGATACATGTCTTATTAAATTTACCTAAGTATTCTATTTTTTATGGTACTGTGAACATGATTTTCTCTGGTGTGTGTACACAGGTGTGGGTGGATACACTTGTGTGAGTGCACCCACAGCACACGTGTGGAGGCCACGCCCTCCTTTATTACTCTAGACCTTGCTTTTTGAGGCAGAGTCTCTCACTGCACCTGGAGCTCACTGACTGAGCTAGGCTGGCTGGCTAACGAGCCCCAGAAATGCTGCTGACTCCATCTCCCCAGAGCTGGGGTCACAGGCCTGTGACTCATTTACTTTTTCACTTGTGTGCCTGGAGTCCAAACTCAGGTCCTGCTACTTCCTGGCAGGCACTTAATGGACTGAGCCATTTCCCAGCCTGTAATATTCCTTAATTCTATTTGCTTACTCGCTAGTATATAAAAACCAATTTTTTATATTGATCTACTCTGTGTCTTTACTGAGCTTGTTTATTAAATCTCAATTTTGTGTATTTGTGTAAGTGTGTGTGTGTGTGTGTGTGTGTGTGTGTGTGTATCCGAGTATGTAAAGCAATACAATTAATTCTACCAGAAACCTGGGAGAAGCTGAAGAGATGGCTCAGTGTTTGCTGCACAAGCATGAGGACCCAAAATTAGATCCCCAGAACCCACATTAAAAAAAAAAAAAAAAAAAAAAAAAAACTGGAGCTGGACCCAGTGGAGCATGCCTATAATCCCAGCACTTGGGGAGGCAGAAGCAGTGGATTTCTGTGAGTTAAAGGCCAGCCTGGTCTACAAAGTGAGTTCAGGACAGCCAACGTTACACAGGGAAACCAAAACCAAAACAAAAACAAACCTGGGCACAGCAGATCATGTCTGTGATCTCAGGAAGATAGAGACAGGCAGATCTCTGAAGCCCAGATAGTCTAAAAAAAAGGCACATCTCAATGCAGACACATTTTCCTACCATGATTTTTGTTTTGTTTTTAAAGGCAGGGTCTTACTTAGTACATCCTCGGGGTAGACTTAAATTCTCTATGTAATTCAGGTTAGCGTTAAACTTGTGGTGACCCCCCTTGCCTTAGCCTCCCAAGGGCTCGGGTTATAGGTGAGAGTCAACATGCCTGGGTTCCTTGAATATTTTATCAAAAAGTTGAATCTGCAGACAGGAACCACAGACTAAACGCCCACTGACTACTTTTGCAGTGTCTAGGGCAGTGGCTCTCAGACTGCTAACAGAATTGTGCAGATTCGGGCAGGTCCTACGTTTCCTCAGTGGGTGAAGGTGAGCATCAGATGCCCCGACTCTGTGAGTGACCTGATCAGATGGTGTCATAAACTGTCACCATCATTCCATGAAAGCCAACTCTAGGCACTTACCCGGTGAAGGCAAAGATTTTTCCTCTGGTGTCTGGATCTTTAACCGCTTTAACTATCCCTTTGGAAACATCCGCAACCTATACAAATCATAGGACATTTTCAGACAATTGTTGACCTAAGACATCAGACCTGGAGATCAGGCCCATAACCTCAGATACCTGGGAAGATGAAGCCAAGAGAATCAAGCCAAAGACCTGGCTGGGCTGCATACTGAGTTCAAGGCTAGCTTGGACAACTCAATACAACTTGTCTCAATTTCTTTAAAGCAGGTTGGGAATGTAGCCCAGTGGTAGTGTTTACCTCACATTCATGCTGTCCTGGGTTCAATCCCAGGATATAACCACAAACAAACAAGTGTTTAAAAGAGATGGAAAGGTAGAAAGAGAAAGGGAGGAAGGAAAGCATGTGCCTATCACAAGCAAAAGCAACATAACCGAAACAGCAGCATCTCTCTCAGAACCTGAAGGAACCTCTCCTTACTCAGTCATTCAGATAATCATACCCAAGACTCATGTGGGCACTGTCCTAGCCAGAGTCTCTAGTCAGCCCCAGGCCTTCTTGACTTTGCCAGGCCACCGTCTCTCCCATGTGATCTCTTACCACTCTTCCCCACTGTCCTAGGCCACCATAATCTAGAGGCTGAACCACACAGAATAGCTGATGTTCTTCCATTCTGACTTTCAAAATAAGTACTATATACAGGTTTAGACCCGAGACCTGAATCCATAATCAGAAATTATTTATAGTTCTAGGAAACATCTGACGACTGCATGGAAAATTTTTAGTTGTCATGGAAGGGGCAAGAGATGGCTGTTTCTGGTTTCTATTGACAGGGTGGCTGTTCAACATCCCACAGTGAGGAATTATCTGGCCCCAAATATCAGTAATGCCACTATTGGGAAAGTGCTAGCTAGCTTTTACGTCAACCTGACACAAGGTAAGGTCATCTGGAAAGAAGGAATCAGAATTGAGAAAAATGTCTCCGTAAGATTGGTCTGCAGGCAAATCTGTAGGGCATGTGAGGGAGCCCAGCACACCCTGGGTGTTGCCACCGCTGGTCAGGTGGTCCTGAGGTGTACATAAAAGCAGGCTAAGGCAAGCCATGGAGAACAAGCTAGTAAGCAGCACCTCTTCATGAACTGCATCAGCTCCTGACTACAGACTCCTGTAGTCTTGAGTTCCTGCATTGCTCCCCTAGGTGATGAACTTTTAAGCTGTAACTTTCTTTTGGGCGTGGTGTTTTGTCACAGCAATAGAAATCCTAACTAAAACAGAAACACTGGTCCAACCCAGCCCACTACTATGGAGCCCAACCTTCTCCTTCACCCTTGTTCCTAGTATGTACCATTCCCTCTAGGTGGAACAAAGCCCCATGCCTAACAACTGACTCAGAACCATCCAAAGCTGGATCTCCTGGCTTCTGATACGATGACATAAAATTCTCTCCTCCTTCTTGCACTTATCACATTGAATAACAACTGTTATTTACCTGGAAAGAACTTGGGGACAAAACTGTATGTCTCACTGGTTATCCTCTCTACATTCCTAGTAACATAGTGTGCTGGCACACTGTACAAATCATAAGACATGTTTAAGCAACTGTTGAGCAAGGACATCAGACCTGGAGAACAGGCCTGCAACCTCAGTTACCTGGAAAGTTCAAGGCTAGCTTGGGCAACTCGGTAAACCTGTCTCAATTAAGCTTTCTTAAGTGGATGGACAACTGTGGACACTTAGGAAACATGCACCTCTTAGGTAAAATGAGGCAACCAGTTGAAGCAAGCTGACAAAGGGAAAAATGAAGTTCATAGGTGAGAATAAAGCAGAAAATTGAACCAAACCTGAATGCAGTGAATACCCTTTCCTAAGCCTTCATGCAGGGTACTTACATATACAGGTTGTTTCACTGTCCTAAAGCCCAAGGAAACGAGAGGCACACCGATAAACCAACGAATATCTGGAAGAAGAAATGAGAACCTGTCCTGAGAATGTTTAAGCCATTTACATAATGAAAATAATGTACCAAATACAGCAGACTCTGAGGGCTCTAGACTGAATAAATAAATAAGAAAAAAAACGGACTGGGTTGTGATGGCTCAAAAATAAACAGACAGACAGACATTAAGGGACTGGGTTGTCATGGCTCATAGATAGATAGACAGGCAGAAAGACAGACAGACAGATAGATAAATAGACAGACAGATAAAAAGGGACTGGGTTGTGATGGTTCATAAATAAATAAACTTAAAAACCTAGCAAACAAACAATCAAAGAGCAGGGTGGGTAGTGACGGTGCACACCTTTAATCCCAGCACTCAGGAAGCAGAGACAGTAACACTGCATTCCAGGCCAGACAGCGGCCTCCCCTTCCTACCACCATGCCTTCCCCAAAATGGACTATAGTCCCAGAAAGTATCAGCCCAAGTAAACCCCTCCTCCCTAAGGTGCTCAGTCACCAGCAGGTATTCAGTGATGAGAACAGTGGCAGGCACAGACTCTTCCTGTGCACACCTTTCCTGTGCCCTCAATGCTCATCTGGCCTACCCCACTGCCAGCTTCAACGCTGCCTCCACATCCTCAGGAATTGTGTCAGTATTCTACCTCTCCAAACATGGATCTGTCTTAGTCTGTTCAGGCTGTCACAGCAAAATACCACAAACTCGATGGCTTAAACACTCAAATTATATTTTCTCCAAGATCTGGAGGCTGGAAAGTCCAAAACCAAGTGTCAGCAGGTCCCTGGCGAAGTTCTCTTTCTGGCTTGTGGGTGGCCATCGTCTTACTGCATCCTCATGTACCCTACCTCAGTGTGTGCACACAGAGACTTTCTCTCCTTGTAAGGTCATCAACCCCATCAATTAGTTCCTAATCCTTACAATATCATACAGCCACAATGACCTCCAAACCCCTTTGTCCATAAAGAGTTACATCAAGAATTAATATAAATAACTAGCAGAAAACAAATCTTACATATGGTATGCCATGATTTTAAAAACAAAGTGGAAATTAATGCATAAATCTAGATAGTACAATTTTAGATACAAGGAAGCAACAACTGTACACAAAGGTATGCTATTCAGCTACACAAGAAAACAAGTTTCTCAAAATCAGAGACAAGTCCTAAATGCATATAAGCGAAAGAAGTCAATTTGAAAAGGCTTCATGGTGTGTGACTACAAAGACAAAGTATTTTGAAAATGATACAATTACCAACCCAGTAAAAAGATCAGTAGTTGGCAGGTGTCCAGGATGGGGCCAGAGAATTTGGAGAACTCACGGGATTTGCTAATATCTTGACAAGGTCATAGAGTTACTGAGGTTTAAGCCTCAAGTCTCAGGTCCTGAAGTCCTTCCTCTGGGGTAAGCATGACCACTGCCTCTGGCAGTGGGAAGGAAGTAAAACTACCTCCTTAAATCCACGCCACAACATTTAACTGGGCCCTCATTTCACAGCAGAAAGGGCCATGTTGCTGCTGAAAACAAAACTCCCAAGGAGAAAGGAAAGACAACTGGAAGAGGAAACAGACTCGGTCTGGGAGCTCGGAGAGCACTGCCCACTGGTGCTCTGCTCAAATTGGGCTAAGCCACCCATGGCCCTCTCTTCTGGGAAGAAAGATGCATACTTGCAAAGTAATTGAGGAACCTGTCCTCCCTTCCAAAGATGTCAGAAGGCCGTATGATGGTGGCTTCAGGAAATGCACTTAACACGTCCTTCTCTCCCACTGCCTAAACAACCAAAAATAAAAGCATTTTAATTCCACAGCAAGTGCACAGAGCTTCCCCTCCCTCACAATCAGTGACTGCTTGCACTGACAAGGCCCTATATTCATTAGGTAACCATAACTTCAGAAGATAATGTTGTTCATAAAACTCAATTAACAGACTGTTACACACACACACACAACGTATGTGACAAAACAAACACCCCACATAGGTTATTCCTATTCTTATGCTAGGAAACCTCATAATGAAGGGGAAAACTGAGGATATGGTTTTTCAGCCTTCAGTTTCTTTCTCCTATTTACAGATTCTCTGCTTCGTGTCAGTAAGCTAGCAGCCTGTCAGAGAGGAGTCAGTGTGGTGGCAGTGGCCTCCTGCACTGACTACAGAACCTACCAGTTTAATGCCTGTCCATATATGCCTCTTTCTCTTTATCAACTCCTTCATTCAAGGTAAACGGGGTAGAGCCTCCACCCTTCTCCCTCTTGCCAAGCTAGATAAAACTAGGCCCACCTGCTGCACCACTACCACACTCCAGATCACAGTTTACTCACTTTGCCTCTGCATTCTGTTTCAGCAGCTTCAACACCTGATCTGAAACTACTTTTGATCAGATCACACTGCAGTTCTGTCAGCAGATCTGACACCGCAGTTCTCTTGACTCATCGATGACACAATACCTCTTCCCTCCTGTGATGCTGGCTTCCTGTCTACCGCATAAGTCTACCACTGCTCAGTCCTGGCTAGCTTTGGTATCTGCAAGTACCCCTCCTCCGCCATACTGTAAGGGTTTGCATGCCTCTGCCCCATTCAGAGCTCTATTCTCAGTCAGCCTTCTTACTCCTTAGGCCCTCCATACTTTCTGATTCTTCCAATTAATAGATTCTGTTGACTCTCAACTTCTATCTCCAGCCCAGATCTCTCTTCTGAGCAACAGGGTCATAAACCCTGAGTAACAGGGACACTATTGAAACCCAAGTCCAAAATTCAGCCACTTTGTATTCTCTCAAGTAAAACAGTGCCTCTTAAACTGTGTTGAGTTTGCAATAGCCTAGAGAGAAAAGAATGTGCATAACTGGCAAATTGCCACGTGCTTCTGAGCCCACCAAGAAGCTGCCTCTGAAGCAGAGCCAGCCTCCACCCTACCTGAGACACAAGTACACTGATGTCAAGTTTCTTTCCAAAACCTCTCTCTGTGCCAGGTTGGGTCTTTGATTCTGTAACAGGAGATGCTAATGGTGTTAAAGCATTGTGTCCTTAAGAACAGCTGGAGAATAAACTATTTCCCACAGCGATTACTACTGTTTCTCTCGTGGTACAAAAATGTTCTGCAGTGGGAGAGCAGCTGGAAGCTCATCCATGGAAAATACTCTGTGCTGGCTGGAACTCGAGAGGGTCAGCAAGGCTTCCCCGGCCATTTCTGCTGAAGACCATGAGAGCCCAATCTGATGATGTTCTCTGCGCTGTTTGTCCTTTCAGTGAAAAGCTTCCTTTGCGGGAATGTTCTGCTCCGCCTGGGACTCACGTATGATTAGGAATTCCTGCTGTCCCACGAGGGCTCCCCAGTGTGTTCTGCTGGCTGGCTATAGCCCTGGTTTGATGAAGTTACTATTTTGTTTTCCCCTTTGGGCTATTCCACTCAATCCAGCTGGACTTTGTGAGCACCTGATTTGATTAATACTCTGTCCTCTACCTGCTGCTTCCCACCATCAGCTAATTGCTATTTACTCTTGTTTGCTATATGCCTAATAAACTCACTCATTCAGAAAGCACAGCTCTCACAGATCGTTCTCTAGAAAATACAAAATAAAGTTAATAAAATATTGACACCTTCAAAGAGTCTACTTTAGTGGGTTGAGGTAGACTGGGCATTGGAGTTTGAGAATCTCAGTGACTCTAATGTATAACTGAGGCCAAGAATTACTGGCCTAAGTCCTAGCCCACTCAAGTATTCCCATCTTACCCAACAGCAACACCAGGCACGGGCTTAAAGAGAGGGGCTAGCAAGTTTTGATGTCTCTCTCTCAACACAACATCCCCACCCGCTTCCACAACTATGACATTCAGCTGATTCAGTGCAAAAGCAGCCATGTGTGTTTTCACTCCTATCTTTTTCTTCAATGTACTGTCTGGGTGTGAGAGCTTGGTAAGTGGGAAGCCAGTCCTGCGACTTGGGAGACAGAGCTTACATAAAGAGGAAGTCAGAACTGAGGAAAATCTGAGAAACAAGCTACAGGCTTGACAAATATTGGCACCAATCATGGTGAAGATTCCCTAGTGCTGCTTAGTTATGTGAGCCTATAAATTTCCTTTATGTTTACATCCAATTTTTCTTTCTTTTTTTTTTTTTAATTATGTATATACGTATATGTTTAGAGTCAGGGTTTATGCACATGAATGCAGAACCCAGGGAGATCAGAAGACGGTATCAGTCCCCTTTGGAACTGGAGTTACAGGCAGCAGTAAGCTACCTAATGAAAACTCAGGTCCTCTCCAAGTGCAGTACATTTCACTGCCTGGCAATCTCTCCAGCACCTCACATTCAGTTTTCTGATGCTAGTAATTAAATGCTACTAACTACAGGTACAGTTCACTTCCAATGCCCCACTATACCCTGCTCCACTGGAACATTTTGCTACTCTGCAATGCTTCATGGTACTGGGATCATTTTTCCTGATGGACTAGAAATTTAATGTGGGCTAGGATCAGGTCTGCTTGATAAGCAAATGTATGCTCAGTACCTAGCACAATTTACAACATACAACTGGTGCTTAACAGTTTTCTCAATAAATGCATGCAATGGATCAAAAGCCTGAAATCATTATCAAGAACTCTGCTGTCCTTGTCAGAATGACTCAGGGCAAGCTCATTGTGGCCAAAGACAAATGCTGATGCGTAGACCCAGACACTAGTTAGCCTGGACAAAAACACTTTAGGTCCCAGATGGATTATGAGCCACAGTGGCCAATACCAGATGCCAGTAGAGTTTTCAGGAGGAAAAGATGAACTACATGAAGAGCATTCTCTCTGGCACTATCTACTCCTATCATTCCCAGCCCTTACACTGCCCAGGTTGGAGTGGGACTGGCAGAAACCTGGGATTACAGGTCTGAAAAGGAAAGAGGTTCCTGAAATCACAATTGGTGACAGGAATCGTGCTCTGCATTCCCCGGTGTGTGCTGTGTACCTCTTATCATGTCTCCCCACAACCTTAAGCATTTGGAGGCAGGGAATATTATCTACCCATATTTGAAGCCCTTCAACAGACCACTCAACCAAAATGTCCCAAATGTGTGCAGAGGCTGGAGCCATGGTTCAGGAATAAGGCACTTGCTTGTCAAGGCCAAGGCCATGGACTCAGTTCCCAACTTCAAAAACAAATTAAAGCCACAATACCAGTGTACCTGTTCTGGAAGGGCAATGAAAAACCCTCTGATTTCTCAACACATGGCGGAGAAACACTTCTCACCCCCGACAAGTTCCGAAGGGTTTCCCAGCCCTGTGGAGCACCGGCACTCACCTTGCTTCTCAGGTACCTAGAAGAACTCTTCATATTGGCATTCAGGTGTGAAACATGAATAAATCTCTCAACTCCAGCTTCCTTGGATGCCTGTGCTATTGCATGAGGAATCTTCACAAAAATATCTTCAAAATCAAAGTTTCTGAAAGAAAAAGGTAAGGAAGAGCAGTTAAGAATTGAAGAAGATTCGGGATTTCTATACTACTCTGGTTTACATGACAGTATTAGAATTTATAACAGTTAACCTTTTAAACAATAATGCCTTAACTCTAAGCCAAAAGTAATTTTTCCTAAGGCTTCCAGACCTGCTCATTGCCAATCTACTTAGATAAAAGCTTACTGGAAGTTAGAAAGCCAGCATAGAAAGTACTTTATGTTCTCAAGAAGTCTTGAGAGAGAGGCACTTCAAGAAAACCTGACTATTCTGGCTAGAGTGAATTGGGGAAGTATTGGGGGATGGAAAGGGACTCACTTCTTACTCATAGAACTTTGTTTCCATAAAGTGAAAAAAAAAAAAAAAATCAATCATGGCAGGGCCTGATGGCACAGACCTATATGCTGGCTACTAGAGGAGGATAGGCAGAGAGCTCTCAAGTTCACAGCTATCCTGGGCTACAGAGTGAGCTCAAGACCAACTGGGCAAATGGACAACTTAGTGAGCCCTTAGCTCATAATTAAGAACAATAGGACCTAGGGCTATAGCTCAGTGGCCGAATACATGCCTGACATGGCCCTAAGTTCAGCCCTTAGTATTAGGAAAGAAGAAAGAAGGGAAGAAGGAAGGTGGGGGAGAGGGAGGGAGCTAAGCCACAATTCAATCTCTAAGTTAGCTGAATTCTTCTGCACAAGTCATTGTGTTAGTCCCTACAGGAAACTGAAGTTGAAAAGGATCCTGTAAGTCACCAAAGAATTTCAACTATTTAAGAAAACAGGGGTACTGAAATAAATCTAAGTCGGATATTTAATAAATACTAGAGGTAGAGAATGTGTAAGCAAAGGGCTGTGAAAGTATAAAGCATGATTTCTTTGGGCAAGTGTGGTAGTCCAGCTATAACTCCAGCACTTGCAAGATGGAAACAGGAGAACTGTTAGACTAACGGGGTCGTCCCGGGATACATAAGACCCTCTCTCAAAAGATAATAATAAAAATCTTTAAAAACTAATAATGACAAATCATTCTTTATTGCTAATCCCCATAAAAGCTAAATAACATTCAAATCAGTACACCACCTTTGATTAACAACGCAGAGAGGCAATCCAAAACATTGGTGGACAAGTAAATCCTACATCCTAACTGCACCCCAGACTGACAGTTCCAGCAGAGTCAACACTGGTCACTATCAAATTCATGCCACGAAACACACTGACATGACTCATCATACTGCTAACATCCACTACACATGCTGCCAATGAACCTGGCCACCATTACGGGTGGGCCGGTTGAAAATGACACTATAACCTTAAGCACATAAAAGGTACCTGGTAAACGTCACTGAACCCCAAGACTCAGCAAAAAAGACAGGAGAGACATCGGCTTACTTGGTTTCCCAGTCCCGCCCAATGAGATTGATGACCACGTTGCTGTGCTGCACTGCCTTCCGGATAGAATCTTTGTCTCGCGCATCCCATTCCTACGACAACAGAAGCCAGTCAGACTGAAACATACGGGGCACATCTCAGCACTTACAGCAACTCTCAGGACGGTCATCTGTGATAGTGGAAACACGGCGCCATTTCGCACAAAGTGCACTCATTTTAACAAATGCAGCTGACACCTCAAAACTCCCTCCTCACCCTCCCATTCTTCGGAGACAAGGAGATAAAAGTACATGTCCCCTCCAGGTCTTTCTATCTCCCCCTTCTTTCATAAGATTCCCTGCACTCTGCCCAAAGTTTGGCTATGAGTCCCAGCATCTGCTGTGATACCCTGCTGGGTAGAGTCTTTCAGAGTCCCTCTGTGGTAGGTTCCTGTCCTGTTCCCTGTTTTCTCCCTCTTCCGATGTCTATCCAGTATGCCTTTCTGAACGAGGATTGAGCATCTTACCCAGAGTCCTCCCTCTTGCTTAGCTTCTTTAGGTGTACAGATTTTATTTGCAACTAACCAAAAACATCTGGGCACAGAGGTCTTTTCTGAGACTGATACTCCAACCAAGGACCATTCATGCTCCCTAGGGTTTACACGGTAAAACAAGAGTTGCCAGATCCTAGCAGAATGGAGGATGCAGCCGGTCCACTCTGGGGTAAAACTACTGCTTTATTCCACTGCCTCTTATCAAGGACCTCAGAAACTACATTAACAAACCCAGTGGCCACCACAGAGTCTTACCAGAAAGATAAGCTGGCCCAGGTCACCCATAAGGCGAAGGTGCATGATGTCATATGTATCACATCGATAAGGTATGATCACTTGTGATCCCATTCGTCCTAAAATATGAAGCAAAACAAGGAACAACAACAACATAATATGTATATCTCACACAACAGTGACTTAGAAAAAAATCACATTCCAATATGATAGATGGATTAATTTACAGCTTAATAAAAAGTGTATTAATACTGGCATACTAAGGATGCCATAACTTCTCAGGGTCCTTTATCGTCATAATAATGTCCTATAGAAGAAGCATGGATGTTCTTTCAATGCCAACGCAGATAAAATGTATATAAACATAAGATAGAAGTAACTTGTAACAATATTAAAACAAGCTCAGTCTCAAGTAAGGCAATCCTAGTCCAGGGCCATGGAACAGACTGAAGTTAAAAAACTGACTTACCAAGATGGTTGACAACGTATCGGCCCAGGAACCCTGTTGCTCCAAAAACAGTGGCCACAACTCCACTGACAGACGAGCGGCCACCTTTCCCATGAGGTATGACAGCATGATGAAGCTGGCGATGACGTGGGCCACTGAACACAGAGGTTGCTGCTGCAGTAATGGCCGGACCTTCAGGGAAACACCAGAGCCAGCAAAAGTGGCAAATGTTAGCGTAAAAGCAACTTTAAATAACAGTTTCTTTCCTAGGAACTTGCAACATTATTTTGAGAAAGTACCTTAGGGATTTAAATACCAACAACAGTAAAAACAAATTACTGTAGCACAAAATCCACAGGAAATATATAAAATTAGAAAGCAAATACCATGTCCTATGGGACATATAACATTAAGTCATACTTATCACAAGAACGGATTTATGGGCAGAGTGTTTTAAAGAGGAATAACCAAGACTAGAATCCCATGAGAGGATCCCTTTCCCATAGCTGGGCTGCCTTGCTGGCCTCAGTAAGAGAAATTGCACCTAATCCTGCTGCGATTTTTGATGTACCACTGTGGGTTGGTACCCCTGGGCATCCTCCCCTTCTCTGAGCATAAGAGGATAAAGATGGGGGAGGGGTGTGAGGATGGGTCTGGGAGGAGAGGAAGGAGGGGTTCTGTGATCAGATTGTAAAATTAAAAGGAAAAAAAAAAAAAAGAATCCCATGAGAAACACGTAACATCCACAACCAAGCAGGGGTAGGAATGAGTGAGACTGGAGTGGAGAAATAGCAAAAGACTATTTGGACTTGACTGAAACTTGATGTTACATGAAAAGTTAAGATAATGATGTGGTTGGAGGCAGAAGACTACTGGCATCTCAAAAGGGAAAAAAAAAGCTGGGGAAGTGGCTCAGTTGGTAAAGTGCTTGCTATGAAAGCATAAAGACTGAGTTTGAATTCCTGACACAAAGAAAGGAAAGAAAGAAAAGGAAGGAAGGAAGGAAGGAAGGAAGGAAGGAAGGAAGGAAGGAAGGA